GCCAAATGCAGAAAACAAGACAATATGCTACGATGGGAAGCTGGGTCTCGAATAGACCCATAATAGATTAGTGCTTATGTAACTTTAATTTCGTTTGACAAGATGATTCGGATTCGAAAATAAACCTCAAAGTTGTAACTGTAGATTTTAGCAAATTGTCCTCGGCACACCGTCCCTTGACCCAGAAAAGACCGTAACGTGTGATGTAACGCAGCAGAGCAGGAAACAAGGCTTTAAGTAAAATCACCAAGAGCTAAAACAACAACTATTACCTGATGCAAGCCTACATATTCCTTATAGCCGGTATTTGTCCACTTAATGAGACATAACATGATTTAGTCGGCTACTCTATGCGTTTAATAGTAATTAAGTTATCCTCTGAGGTTTAAAGACTAATACTCGAGTTTTTCCACAGTGAGATGAGAAGGCCTCAATATACTATTGAATTTCACTTAGCGTTGTCTCTCAAAAGACTATCTTATCCAGACTGAACTGTTATGTGGCTTTCACCTAGGTCGCACCAGCAACCCAAACGGGTAACTCATGACCCAATATTGAATCCCTTTGGGGTACTGATGAGAAATATGCAAGATTAGGTGAAATTCACTGGCATCCTAAGGCCTACTCGTCTCATTGTGGGAAAACTCAACTATCACTTTTTAAATCATCTTAGGCAACGGAGAGTGACTAAGTTCATAGTAAAGAATTACTGATAACAGCACAACCTACTGATACCAAAAATATTTAATTTTTCTTCATATCTTTTGAAATAAATAAAGTGAATGCAAATAATGCCTGAAGTGGATACGGTTCTGACCAAGCATCTGCTTCCCCGCCTAATTTACTTGTATTTTTATCCTTCAATTTTGATTCATGAAATTGCGTTCCATTGCAAAACCACTCAAGCCTCTTCCTCTCGCTCGGTGGTATTTACCTCTCTTCCCAATATTCGGCCTACTTGCACAATCTCTATAGCCTGCTAAGCATCTGGCTTTAAGCCAGTAAAGCTAGTGTCCTGTGTTGGGCCGTTTCTGATTTTCATACCCATAAACCCTTGTAGACGGTTTTATATTCAGATAGCATCTTATGTATGGCTGGGAAGGTCTCCCCCGCATAGACAACACCGCAAAAGCAAAAAATTTTAACAGATTGACCTAGAGTTGGGGACAGAAAATTCCAAAGATGGCATTTCCAAAGAAATTAATGTCTTCTCCTGATAAATCGTTATGCCGTCCCACTTTCTCGGCAATTCGCTTGTTTTTCTAGGGCTAATTGGATGGTGAAATCAGGACCCTGGTAAACTGGTCCAACGGCTTGCTTTGCCCTAAATAGATGCTTGGCTATATCCTTGGTTTCCTGCTCTGACAATATCCGTCATATGAGGCGAAAGCTCCTTACAATTTGAGCGGGGTCTCGAAAACGTGCACAGAGGACATATCCACACAAATCTACATGAACAACTTTAAGGCAAATCCACTTCGGCTCCGCTAGGAATTTCTTCCCAATGAAAGATAAATTAGCATCAAGACTATATGCTTTCATAAACAATGTGTGCATTTTAATTTTTCTCCAACTATGAATAATGGCAGATATGAAGACCAAGATGGTGTGGTCGTAGTCACATTGAGCTATATAGGGCTGGTGTAACCTCCTTTTCGCAACTTGGCTGAAATGATAGAGAGACCTTGTGGAATATACCCAGTCCTGCGTCATACCTCATAGTACTTATGATGATTTCCAGCATCGGACCGAAATAGTTCAGCGTGAAAAAATTAGGAAATAATGAAATAAAATTCAATAAGTACAAGGAGCTTAACCGTAATGCCTGATAATACAGAGAATTTATCAGTGGTTGAACAAACTCCCTCGGAATAATAAATAATCACTTTTGGGACCTTGAAACAAGACTAACTAAAAGTGATAACAGTTCAATGAGCTAATATTGATACTCGAGAACAAAAGATGATATAGAAGAGCAATCTTTACATTGTATTGCTTTTGTTTCATGAGTATTGCAAGAAAGCGAATTTCAGGCTAGCCTAAAGAAGCTATTGTTCTCCCTTTTATTGGCATTTATTGGACATTTTAACCGCCCCCTTATGCATATTCCGAGCATATGTCATGGCTCCTTTCGCATTCAATCAATGAATAAATGTGTTTATCTTGGAAGCACATAATATCAACTAAATGATACAGTAATTAGATACAATTTAGTATAATTATCCGTGGATTGTAAATAGAATGCCGCATTACCAAAGTTGATATGGCAAAGGTTTATGCATAAAGTAGGTTTTATGGGTCAAAGTCTTGCTGCAGTAATTAGGATCGCTATAATTTTGCCATAAACGATGTCTAGGCATGGTTAAAAGTTAATCCGATGAAGCTCTTAGATAAAAGAATGGTTTTAAACAAGCAAACATACAAATTTGATTTTCTACAGCAAATGTGAGGCAATTTTGGAAAAATATTTTGCAGAAAATTCGACACTAGGCACATCCAGAATAGATGAAAGCGGAGTGCGATCTACCTGTGGAATAATCGAGTATTTAATGTTAATTAAAATGATTAATTCCACCTTGCCTCAAATGTCACTTTCCAAAGGTTACCACTAGTAGAATATATGATGCCTTGTTCGTAAATGATGGTTACCGGCTCAGACAATGTCCGTCACATGACGGATGAAAACCCAAACACCGAGTCACCGAAGTCACAGGACGATGAGCCAAGTTCTTCTGCGTAAAACCCAAGTAACAAATCCAAGGCAACCCTCCTTCGGTATCCGATGGGGCCAATTCACGAATACCTCCCACCCGCCTTTTTGAAGGAAGCGAAAGGTATGCCTACATAATTCTATTAAGGGACACTTAGAAACTCAGCCTTACTCTATATCTAAGAAGTAACTTTGCCAAGAAGCTAATCTGGCTAAACTCTATCTTATCCTTCTTATTAAATGGCTGATCAACAACCTAACCGATAGGTAATCGCACATCTTAGTTGACTTGAGCTGTCTTTAGATCTGCTTGATAAAGCAGGATGAAGTACTGCAACCTCATGGAAGGTAAACTGCAAAAGCCTACTATAAAAAATGCTAGACTTGGAATTAAAATATAAGGAAGGAAGAACAGAAATATGGGCAATAATGAAAGTTGATGAACATACACACGCCAATAGACCATGTTGAACTATAAGATCATTTTAAATGTACCAGTCGAATGTTTCAGACCTTTGTGTAGTCTATCCAATATTTCACTTCGGACCTTCTAAAAGTTTCAAATTAGAAGGCCGTCTGCAAAATTGAATAGATGTAGACAGTTTTCCTGACGAAACAAGTACTATGAGCTGTGGTCCTAGTATTTCAACCAAATTCAAGCTAGCGAGTCAATAAAACTCACCGGTTTAAGCATAGAAAGCTGTAAATATACTATATATCTTAGCACTTTGATGAGATATAAAGTGATTTGGTTAGTTCCAATAATATGTCAACCTCGAAGTATGTGAGTAGGCCTGCCTCTGTATGCGTACGTGCCTGTATGTGTTCGCATATGTACGAAACCAGCAGTGAGAACTCAAAGTAAGTAGAACAGCAAAAGTAACGTCTGCTCTCAGCCATCCAAGTTCAATTATCACCATCACCCAACACTATATCTTTTTTAATCATCCTTCTGATTGCGCAAGGTCGGATTCACGTCTAGTTATGTTGATGAGCATCTTTGTCTTTACATGAGAGAGTGAATTTTGTTGTCTTCATGCGAGGAAGAAAGAGTAGGATACAAATACAGATAAGTGACCGTGATTAGAGCCAAGAGAAGAAAAGACTAGTTGAGTCGCCTCCTTTTTTCAGGCGGCTCAATACGCGCTCGATCCTTGAGTCTATTAATTAAGCACAATGTAATTTTTACTTGTCCTTCTTGCCGGTATTCTTTACACTCAATATATTTCCTATTCGGCTTATTTCGATGGCTTCTTTAATTGTACGTTTAGCCGCAGACATGCCATAATCAACAAAGCGACAAGTTTGAGACCATTCAATCTCGTGTCCCGTTTCTGGCCTGTGCTCAGCCAGCTCCGATTTTTGAACCCAACATCCATTACAGACGCTTTTGTGCTTTTTCGAATGGGACGACAAGTCTCTCCAACATAAAAGCGACCACATGAAGACATTATATTGTAGCAACCCGATCTGGATAATGGGTCAACTTTCTTTCTAAAAGTGGGTATAACAGAAGAAAGTGTCTAGTTTCCCTGAAAACCGTTTTTATTCCCACTTCCTTACTAGTTCGCCCATCCCTTTCGAGAGAAGGAAATGTCGCCATAACTCTCCTTATGTATTCGCCATTCAGAAAGGTATTCGTTATTGGCCTAATGTTATTTTCAATCAAGAATACGAGATAATTATTCTAAAAAAATATTAGTTTGAGTCGATTCAGTTCATTATCACAATGGTCTTTATCAGCTAGTCTTATGCTCTAGATAAAAATAGATTTTAAAACGCCAACCTTTTTTTTGAAACTATTATTGGAGAAGAAGTTCAGTATAAAGCCAGCATGTGTTGGCCTTCTATAGACAGCCCTGCTTAACTCCTCACCTGCTCTGATCACTAAGACATCTAAAAAGGGCAAATTATTGTTGATCTTCATCTCCATTGTCAACTTAATATTGTAGTCAATCTGGTTAATTAAAAACAAGAAATTACCAAAACTATTCTTGCCATGCTGCCATATGGCAAACTAGCCATCCATATATCTAACTAACAGTTTGGGTGTCAATCTTACCTCTTCTATGAAGTATTTCTCCATTCTTGACGTGTAATTATTAGCTAAAATGGGAGCCAAGCAAGATCCCATTGCTAGGCCTTGCACCTGTTCATAAACCTTATCATTAAAGGTAAAGTAGGTAACGTGATTCCCTAAGCCTGACCTTAAGACTTTCCGTGGGATACTACACTAAAAGTCTGTATGTTTCTGAGTCATTGAAATGCTTGTCGATGGGACTTTCCTTTCTTATGAAAATGCATGAAGAAGAGATTCGTAGGTCAATTTCATCAGAAGAGGACGGATGAATCCCGTTGTACGACGTTCAGGTTGGCGCAGTCCACTGGCTGAGCTCAGCCCGTTTTCACCCGAAACGAGGGAGATGTCGTGGACTATATCAACCTGAACGTCGTATAAAAGCTCAACGGCTGCAGTACAACGGGATTCATCCGTTCTCTTCTGGTGAGATCGACCTACGAATCTCTTCTTCATGCACTTTCATAAGAAATGAAAGTCCCCTCAACAATGTTTTTATTCCTATCTACATTGAAATGAGCCATAATTTTTAATATATAACTTAACCTATCTATGATGAACATGGTACCATCTTTATCTGACTTCCAAACAACCAGATCATTTTAGTGCAAATATCTAGAAATCTTATTATAGTCATAAGATTTCTTTGAAATAATTACTCATTCAAAATGAGGAATAATATCTCTTTATATACTATTCTTAGCCTCTTCTGAAAGCTTGTTTGTTAAGTTAATCAATTCAACCAGTATCTCCATAGAATGAGTTTGCTCATTAGGAAAGGCAAAGTTTATACACCTTTCTAAGAAGAGACTGCCACTATCAACCATAGGTATACTGGATAACTTAATGACTTTATTTTTCCTAAAATAGATAGCACTAAGCTTAACTACATCATATAAGGATGTAGTTAAGCTTTTGACCATTCCTCGAGTTGATTTTAATGCCTAAATTCCTTAATTTCGTATCATGTCGGTATATGTGAATCCTTTCTGCCAGACTGTCCGCCATATTATATAACTTGAGAAAGTCTTCTTGAGAAAATAGCAAGAAAGGGATTGCTAAGTCCTTGTTTTGGTTTTAATCAGGTCATGTAATTTGTCTATAATTCTTTTTGTCTAGTCTTAATTAAACCACATGATATCTGTTCTAGCTTCCTATTAGTGGAAATAGGTAAAGCTGGATGAAATGGAAGTAAGCTCAACAATTCTGAAATAATAGATTCCTCGAAACCTCACTTTTCTTCATATAGAGTTGTTTTGCAAATACCACTAATTACATTAAAGCTCAATAATAGGTAAATGAGGCAAGGAGATCATTTTGCATAAATTGTATCCTGCGTCAAAAAGCAGATTTTAAAAAAGAATAAAATGTCAGCTGTAAAATAGTCATTACTTAATGCTGGCGAATCAAAAGATTTATTTAATGTGCACAAGTAGTGAGCTCGGCAAATATATTTAAATAAGTAAAAGCTCTGCAGCTTTGATTTAATTAAGGCTGAAAGTAGGGGTAAATTCCTAAATAATTAAAGGGAAGGGAA